CTTCGGTAACATCAAACTCACTTGACCTTGTTTTTAACTGTCCTCTGATACTTCGCAATATTGTATCCCTATCTTTAATTCGGGGGAGGGGTAGGGGAAAGGTGGATGGCCGAATGGTTAGCACGTGCGCGCTGTATCATAAGGTCTGTCATTGAGGCAACTGGCGTGGTTTCGAATCCCCGGTTGTACGTGGCAAGGAGTAGGGTCACCTGTCCAACCTCGTGGGTTTTTTCGAGGTACTCCGGTTTCCTCTCACTGCAACCGAATTATTGAAATAAAACTGAACTATGTGTTAGTCCCGAAATGACCTAGTTTGTGTCGAGTGGACGTTAAACCCCATTCTCTCTCTATATATTTAGTTCTATTCAAACCTATCAAAATTGGTTCGCAGATTTCGACCTTTTCTTACCCAGTCTAAAACATCTTTATCACTTTATTAGTTTTTCGCAGTTACCAAAACCATCGTTGGCACTTTCCTTCACACCATATAATAATTAATTCTTCTGCTTTGCTATATTTTCACAAGCTTCTGCTTTTGGTTAAAAGCCATTTCGGTCATATTTTAGGCTTTCTATAACATGTTGTATTTTAGTCACTTTCTCTTTCATGATTAAAGCGAGAATTTCATATTTTCTAAGAAAGTCAAAACATAATTATTTCTGTCTTTTGCTCAATAGGTTATCAACTCACTATTATACGACCATGGGCATTATTTCCCACCCTTAAAAATCATTGACACAGGAAATAATAACACAATTACCTCCCTTGTTTTCATATTGCTTCCATACATTAGCTACCTTCAAACGTTGGAATTTGAAGTTGAAACTGATATTTTTGCCAATTTCTCAGCTGGCAATAGTGAATTATAGGAAATAGGATTAGTCTTTAACAAGGTAGGGCGGTTTATGGATACCATCTATTTTAAGGCTTTATTTTAATAAATTTTAAAAATATAACGTAAAAATATAAAATTGTAGCTTTAAATCCTTCACCTGTTCCTTAAATCTTGTGATATCACAATATACAGTTGATATTTACATTGTCAATAACATGTGGGAGTTTTATCACGTGTTTTTGCTGGGGGATTTAGTCCTAGTTTGCATGGTGCAAACATTCTGCCAATGTAGATGTGGTTGGCCTTCGTGGATCTTTTTATTAAATATAAATTGGGTCATTTTTGACAAACAGAAAGTGTTTTACGAATGGGACAAATATTAATCTCAGATTGTTCATATCTCGTTTATTTCTCAACGGATCTTCGTCGGATTTTCATTTTTGTGTTCTATAGACGAATCCTATATGGGCTCTGACTGACGTTTTTTTTTTTTAAGAATTCGGAAGTTCGCTCGATTAGTTTTAGTATCAAATACATGTATTTGCGAAAGTTTTCTTCAGCATTTCTTTCGATATTCAAGATGGTGTATCTCCGTTAGTCTTTGGGGTATCAAGTTGACACTTAGCAGGAATACGGAACACATTAATGCCTTCCAATTGGCATATTTATAACTTTTGTGGCGGCTTTTAAAAATCACCCAGGCCTTCCGATTTATCCCGAACATGAATAGTTCTCTCCATTTTAAAAATAGACTAAAAATGACATATAGTGGTGTTAGCCCCAGATATTATCTTTCATTTTTAGAAACCTTGTTCCATAACATTTTCAACCGTTTGCCCGCCATATTGGATTTTACAAAAAAAACCCCAAACCTTCAAATCGATATTCATCCGCCATTTTTTTTTGGAACCTACTCCAAATGGCAACAATTCTTAGAAGCCGATTTTTGAATTTCGATTTTGTTTACTTCCGGTTTATCTTTGAATTTTTTCGACTTTTGAACTACTATCTGGTAACCTAACCGTTTGATGATCCTTGGCCTTTGTGATGACCCTGACGTATACTAACAACTAATATCGAACATTTTGGTCTTAAAGTATAACTTTAATATATATAACGGTAATATATATTAAATACTCTTCCAAATCCTAATATAGTACAGACAAGTAAAACGAAATTTTGAACTATAAAAAAAGAAAACGAAATAGGATCTGTGTTTTAATCAGACTGGTTGACAGTACACAAGTATATAGACCCAACCAGAATGTATAATTTGACACCAAATGTCTCTCTGACTAACATCTAATGAATTCATTTCCAGTACAGTATTTGTATTACCCCATAGGGTCATCATGTACAGTATTTGTATTACCCCATAGGGTCATCATGTACAGTATTTTGTTGAAATCAGCATTGATTTTGTTTTCGAAGGATTGATTACCATCCCATTGTTTTCACACCATTCAGCAACCAAATAGAGATCATTTTGGAGATTTTTGGCGATGGATAAAATATCTTTGTGTGAACAATGCAGGAATAGATGATCTCCCACTCAATATTGAATCAAGTCAGATAGATTTGTTTGCTGATGACAGTACCCTGCATTGTTCACACAAAGATATTTTATCCATCGCCAAAAATCTCCAAAATGATCTCTATTTGGTTGCTGAATGGTGTGCAAACAATGGGATGGTAATCAATCCTTCGAAAACAAAATCAATGCTGATTTCAACAAAACACAAAAGAAATCAGAAAAACCTAACTTTATCACTCCATGGTGAGAAAATTGAGACGGTTACTACCGCAAAATTACTTGGAATTCAAATTGACCAAGACCTTAATTGGGAAGCACAGATAGCAGATATGTCTAAAAAACTTGCATCAAAAATATTTCTCCTAAATAAGATAAAAGATCATTTACCTTACGAGACAAGAATTTTGTTTTATAACAGTTACATACTACCAATATTTGATTATTGCTCTATTATTTGGGGAAATGCTACCAAAAGTAGATTAGACATTCTTTTAAAATTACAAAAGAGGGCAGCAAGAGCTATTCTTGATGCACCGATTGAAACTCTGTCCACCTCTTTATTTACTAAACTCGGTTGGCTTACCCTTACACAGAGGATCCTTTACAATAAAATTGTCTTATCATTCAAATTTATTACATTTAATACTCCACTTTATCTAAATTTCCATTTTATTGAAAAATCTCTTGTTTCCAAAACGGATATCTTGCTCCGTTCACAGACCAGTAAATCTCTTTTTCTTCAAAAATGCAAAACGGAATCCATGAAACGTACTTTTCATTATTCTGCATGTCTTTTATGGAACAATCTGCCTTTTGATATAAAGATGTGTAAAAATGTTGAAAATTTTAAGATTAAACTGAAAACTCATCTATTTTGCACACTGTAGGAACCATAATATTCAACTGATGACATACTTATTATTTTTAACTTGCAACTGCATTCTATTTTATTTTGTGTGTAATTATAGTGTTCTTCCTATATTCTACTTGTATAATGTATATGTTTTGTAGTTTGGGAGTGACTTATCAAACTTCCCACTTTAAAATGCTATTGCATTTCTAATGATTTTAAATTTATCCTGATATTACATGCAAGCGAGTTATGTAAATAAAAAATTAAACCATGTTAGTCCCGAAATGACCTAGTTTGTGTCGAGTGGACGTTAAACCCCATTTCTCTCTCTCTCTCTCGCACCTCATACCTCAGATATAACTTAGGATTTGGCAATAACGAAGCTCATTTCATTTCATTATCACGTTGACAACACAACTAACCAATAACTATTTTAAAAAATCACAGTTTAATAATAAAATATTCTAAAACTAAAAGTTAACAAAGATAGAATTAAAAGCAATAACAATCAAAATCAACAAATAAATAAATAATATCAGTATTTGATATTATTCATACTAATAAACTATAATATTTACCAAATATTCTTATGGTTCATAACATTATTATTAGTCTTACAGTATAAATCGTTGTACATAACATTGTTATTCTTCAAGACATTATCAGTTTTCCTATATACACTAGTTGCTGTTCAGAATCCCGTTCTTTTCCATTCATGTCTATTTTATTTTCACCAAGGTCTCCAAACACTACTATCATTGTTTATAATATTATTATTACTAATAAAACGTCATTGTTCATAATATTATTATTACTAATAAAACTGTTATTGTTAGAGTCTATTGTTGTATTCACCAAGGTCTCCAAACACTACTGTTATTGTTCATATTATTATTATTACTAATAAAACTGTTATTGTTATTATTAAAGTCTACTGTTGTTTCAGTTTTAATATTCTTGTAGTTTAGGAGGGACCTATGGAAGATTAGTTTTTTTTTTTGCAAACTAAATACGTTGCCTCATTAAATAAAGTTTTTATTATTATTATTATTATTATTTGTATTACCCCATAGGGTCATCATGTGCAGTATATGTATTACCCCATAGGGTCATCATGCACAGTATTTGTATTACCCCACAGGATCAGCATGTACAGTATTTGTATTACCCCATAGGGTCATCATGTACAGTATTTGTATTACCCCATATGGTCATCATGTACAGTGTTTGTATTACCCTGTACGATCATCATATACAGTATTTGTATTACCCTATAGGGTCATCATGTACAGTATTTGTATTACCCCATAGGGTCATCATGTGCAGTATATGTATTACCCCATAGGGTCATCATGTACAGTATTTGTATAACCCCATAGGGTCATCATGTACAGTATTTGTATTACCCAACAGGGTCATCATGTACAGTATATGTATTACCCCATAGGGTCATCATGTACAGTGTTTGTATTACCCTGTACGATCATCATATACAGTATTTGTATTACCCTATAGGGTCATCATGTACAGTATATGTATTACCCCATAGGGTCAGCATGTACAGTATTTGTATTACCCCATAGGGTCATCATGTACAGTATTTGTATTACCCCATATGGTCATCATGTACAGTGTTTGTATTACCCTGTACGATCATCATATACAGTATTTGTATTACCCTATAGGGTCATCACGTACAGTATTTGTATTACGCCTTTGGATCAGCGTGTATAATATTTGAATAACAATTAACACAATTATATTTGGTATGATTTCAGGTCGATAGCGAAGAAAGGAGGGGGTGCTGGCAGAAAATGGATGTTTGTGAGTTTATTGCTTGGTGCTATAGCACTGGGTCTTTTGATCGCCCTGGTCGTAGTTATCACAAAACTAGGTAAACTTCCAGCAGCACCAGAGAGTCCTCCAAATTCGTCAGCGGAAGGCCAAGTTGACGCATCCGAATCGCCAAATCCCGGCGTATTCCATGATTTAACAAGAAGTGAATTATTATCTTTACAAGAATACCTTTATTCAGACAAAGCCTCGGATTTAAATCTGGTGAGACCGGATAAAGCTGCCTTGAATGTCAGCTACGTATTTATTACCGATCTTTTGCCACCTAACAAAACTGACGTTCTAGGTCATTTAGATGACAACGGACCAACTCCAGTACGACGAGCCAGAGTTGTTGTATTCAGGGGCGACAAGACACCGCCAGTAGTTGAAGAATATATTGTGCAACCTATACCAAACCCAACCAGACACGACTTATTCAACCTTCGAACCAGGCGTAACCCCATTCCATTTGCCTACCGACCAATTGGCCGGGTTGAATTAGCAGAACTCTACGAATCTCTATGGACTGGTTTACAAGAAGATATTGGCGATATCCTAAAGGAAAGTTATGATGCAGGGATCGGTGAATGTGGTGATAAATGTTTGACATATTACCCTCACCCAATGTCGTCTGCAATCGTTGGAGCTGATACTAGGAAGATGTGGTTTGAAATCAATTATTACGTCCCTTACTACGGTCTACACCCAACTGGCTTTTTGTTCTTAGGACAAATAGATGGCTCGGACAAATCTAAATTTTCAATTGAAAAGGTTATATATGGTGGAGAATCTTTTAATTCAGTACAAGAATTCAAGACAGCTTACACGACTGGTGCGGTTACAAAAATCAAATTGGAGTTTCCGAAAGTAGTTAAAAATTTATTTTCAACGCTTGATTATAGAGGCGATGCCAAGCCGTCTAAAAGGGCACCCCAACTGGTTGAGCCGGATGGAAAACGTTACACTCTGAACCACAGACAAGTAAAATATATGGACTGGCAATTTGACTTCAGAATGTCTGCGTTAACAGGACCCCAGCTTTACAATATCATGTATGGGAAAGATAGGATAGCATACGAAGTGGGATTACAGGAAATAGCTGTCTTTTATTCTGGCGCTAACCCGGCAGCTCGATTAACGGATTTCGTAGACAGTGGCGTTCTTTTAGGAACTCATGCCAAGAGTTTGGTACCAGGTGGAGACTGTCCAGAAACTGCTACATTCATCCCAGCAACCTTTTTAAGTGAGCTAACAGAAGAACCCCAAACTGTCCAGAGATCCTTCTGTTTGTTTGAACAAAACACGGGGGTGCCATTAAGGCGCCATCTGTCTTATGCTGTGTCTGAAGGAGCTTTCTATGGCGGGGTAATGGACAATGTGCTGATATTGAGGACAATCCTGACAGTGGTAAATTATGACTACATATTTGATTTTATCTTCCATCAGAATGGTGCCATGGAAGTGAGAGCAGTGTCCACTGGTTACATTTATACCACTTTCTACAATCAAGCTGAGGATAAATATGGTTTTCGTTTAAACGAAAACATTCTGGCCAATCTGCATCATCACATGTTCCATTTTAAAGTGGATTTGGATGTACTGGGAACTTCCAATAGATACGAGACCCTGGATATAGAGACTGAAGATCTGGATATTTCTGGGGAGACTGGTACTCCTGGAGATAAATATAACCAAATATTCTACACCAAAAATCTAAAAAATACAGAAACAGAAGCTGCTTACAAATTCAATTTCGATACACCTAAATATCACATCATTCATAATAACGCAGAGAAAACAAGTTTTGGGGTTCCGAAAGCCTATCGAATTCAAATGAACGGAATGTCAAAGCAAACCCTAAAAAAAGACAGTGGAAACGAAGCAACAGTATCCTGGTCACGGTACCAAATGGCAGTTACAAAATATAAACACGACGAGTTTGGCAGCAGTTCACCATATAAAATGTTTGATGGCAGATCACCTGTTGTAAACTTTCAAGAGTATATCGATGATAATGATAATATTGTGGACGAGGTGAGTTGAAGGTTAAAGGGAGAGGGAGAGAGAGAGAGAGAGAGAGAGGGGGGTAGGTTATGGAAATATTGGACAATTATCAAGACCGTTACGTGTCAGCCAGAAATAATATTTCGGGTTTCGGGTTATGGACACACTTCTGATATCAACTTCCTAAGGGTCCTACCAAATAATTTCCAAACTCATCGAAAAAAGGTCACTATGTTTCACGATTTTTGGGAAATAGGTCTTCATTATTATTTTTTTTCTACAAAATATAAACAAAATATTTTTTTTTTGTCACCAAAGCATTTGCCTCTGTTGCCCTCGTCATGATCCGTCACTGCTTTTCCCCGGAAAATTTTGAACATTGGACGGCCGCAAACGCGTTTTCCAGCCCAGAAAATCATTCTGTAGCGAACTCTGAACAATGAACATAATGACGAGGCAGGGACCCCAGGACAGTGGGTAAGTGGGCAAGACAGTACAACATATATGGCAGATAGATGTCAGAACAGTAGGTATTTTAGAACTATGGTCGGCAATGTTTTTTTCGGGGGAAGGGGGAAATCATTTTTTCGGGGGCGGGGGGTGGGGGGTGGGCTCTGCCCGCTTGCCCCCGGCTTACTACGGGGCTGTGTAGAGTGTTTAATGTATATGTGCGCCATCTTGAATTAAGAATATATAATGTGTTTATGTCCGCCGTCTGTGACTGTACGGTATTAAATTAAGACTATATAATTTGTAAATGATACACCTTGAATGGAGAGAGAGAGAGAGTGAGAGAGAGAGTGAGAGAGAGTGTGTGTGTGTGTGCCATCTTGAATTAAGAGTATCTAATGTCTATATGTGCATCATCGGGTATTTAATGTTTGTGTGCGTACCATCTTGAATGTAGAGTGCATATGTACGCCATCTTGAATGTAGAGTGTATAATGCGTATATGTACGCCATCTTGAATGTAGAGTATATAATGTGTATATGTGCGTCATCTTGAATGTAGAGTATATAATGTGTATATGTACGCCATCTTGAATGTAGAGTATATAATGTGTATATGTGCGCCATCTTGAATGTGAAGTATCTAATGGGTATATGTACGCCATCTTGAGTATTTTTGTGTATAAGTACGCCATCTTGAATGTAGATTATAATGTGTATATGTACGCCATCTTGAAGGTAGATTATAATGTGTATATGTACGCCATCTTGAATGTAGATTATAATGTGTATATGTACACCATCTTGAATGTGGAGTATCTAATGTGTATATGTACGCTGACTTGACTGTGGAGTGCCTTTGTGTGTTGATAATCTCACATTACTGTTTTGCTATCTTATTTACCCCTAGCAGATTCTCCAGAACGTATTTGAGAGTTATTGCCCTTGGGTGGTGTGAATGACATTAATCCTATTATATCGCCGCCATCTTGAATGTAGATAATTTAATATGTATATATTGTGCTTGTTTTCAGGATTTGGTACTATGGTTAGCTATGGGAGTTCATCATATTCCACATACAGAAGATCTTCCTATAACACCTACACCCGGTGCTCATCTAAGTTTTGCTTTATTGCCTTATAATTACTTTAAGGAAGATCCTTCCATGACATCGCCTGATTCAATAACTATAGCCCATAAAGATCCCACTAATCCTCAAAATGGCGTCTTATTTAGGAGATACCATAATGCAACAGGAAGACCAACAAATGTAAATTTGCCTTCAGATAATTTATCTGACTATGAAGATAATCCAGATCTTGTTTTACAAAGTAGAAAAAAATTCGGTCTTTTGTAGAATATTTTTTATACATTAAACTGTGTTGATATATTGTTGTCAACCCTGTCCGTCCCGCGGTCTGGTTGAGGTTAATATTATGATTGACTTGAGGAATTCATCTATTGATTTGTAACGACTTCAGACAATTACTCTCAGTGTTAATACATTTAATCACATACCTCTAGCAGTCGCTCTAGAGTCCTACTTCATGTTGATATACCTTAAATCACTGTCCAAAGTTTTAGAGAAGACCCCAGATTAAACGAAAGGCTGTCATTGTTGCTGTACGGGAAGAATAGACGCACTCCCTCAAGTATCAGAAGCCAATCCAGTAATGGCCAGAGAGGGATTTCTCGGGCCATTGCTTCAGGAATATGTCTTTTTATCGGCCAAATAATAAAATGCAACAGCCTGTTTGATCAGCTGGTGTGACCTAGATACTGTGGGTGTATGTCTCGTTGCTTAGCAACCTGTTGTTTTTAAAGCTTCTTCCCCTGTCGTAAAACTTAGATTAGATTAGTTCCAACTTCAAATACCGCGGAGTAATCATGTTGCACCTCAGAATTTTGGAAAAAAATAATGGAGAATTTATTGTTCTTATGTTTTGTAATTAAACTAATTAAAATTTATGTTGTGTACGTTGTTTCTAAATTCGTATAGCCAAATCAGTTATTGCATATTTTTTGGAATTGGGGAGGAGGGTGGGGAACAGTTTGACAGTTTAAAACGGGGTACCGCTTTGCTATTTCTAATTCATATGGACTTGTTCATTATGGAATTTCTTATGGGGTCGGGGAGGAGGGGATGGTGTTTTAGCAACTGGCCAACAAAAAGTGGACATATTGTCATAATAAAAAGCAATGTATTAGCTTGAAGATAAATAACTGGCGGGGATTTGATTCCCCGGTTGTACGTGACAAGGAGTAGGGTCACCTGTCCAACCCCGTGGTTTTTCTCCGGGTCCTCCGGTTTCCTCCCACTGCTAAAGACCACTACGCGCAAGCGAATTATAGAAATAAAATTGAACCACGTTTTGGTCCCGAAATGACCTAGTTTGTGTCGAGTGGACGTTAAACCCCATCTCTCTCTCTCTCTCTCTCTCTTTCTCCCTCTGTCTCTCCCTCTCTCTCCAATCCCAAGCGAATAATTGAACGAAGGACATGGCGAGTAAAGCCGTCTAGCTTGTCCTATGAAATGGTACGAACAGCCGAGGTCAGGTGTACATATTGTCGTGAACGTAAAATAACCTTTGGCAGTTGGTATGTGAAGATGAGTAGCCAGAAACGTCCGTCTCTCGCTTATACGGACGGGCAGACATTATCCCTCTGGCACATGTGGCACCAATCTATTACGAAAGTCTTCTAATATCTCTGTAAAAGATGTCTACCTTCAACACGTGACGTCTCATCACACGGCATCAATCATTGGCTCAATGGTGCGTGCATTGTTTACATAAGACGTTACTAGTTCGGGCGGAATGGAGTTTTTTACTCATTTTAATACCCATTTACACTAAATAGGACATAATTTTTACCTACAAATACGTCAAACGTCTTTATTTTTTTTTCTAATACATAAAAAAATATGTTTTAGAATTTAATTTATCGGAGGAAAAAAGTTAATATTTGTGGCTCATTAAGTCGCATCGATGTCATGCTTATCAGTGATTGTCGCGACCTTATATAGCGAATAATCACTGCTGATCAGTGTGATGTAGCACAGACGTGTTGTCATAGTGGAGCATTGTGCATGCTTGATAGTTCGTATGATTAGGCTCCATTATGCCGACCCGTCTGTCCCACTTCCTCAACTGCAAAACAAATGGGAAGAGAGGAAATGTCTTTTAGCGCGATACAAATGTTCATCCCCACTGATCAAAGTGAAGAATCCGACTGCTCTAGCGGGGATGAGTAAGACAAATCGTCGCCTGAAAACCATATTGTTCTATTTCCAATTACCTCTGTTTTGAGAAAAATGAGATCAAATGTTTGACACTGTACATTTGTTTATATTATTGGCCATCAGTTGTTTATTATTTTACATCACATGCATATGAATTATACCTGAATTTGGAGCATCAATTTTAGATGAAATAATGAGAAATAAAGCTAAAAAACGATTTTTTTGTTTGGAAATAGAACATTTTCCTAAATCTGAAATCGTTCAAACTGAAATCCAAAATGTTCTATGTCCATTATATATGCATATGAACATGCACAGGAAATGTAACTGGTAATTTTATCCAATTATGGGTGTTTAAGAAGGGGGAAGCTCACGTGTTCGCTATAGACTATAAGGTCTGTCATTTAGTGGCATGATTTCGAACCCAAACTTGACTTGTACGTGACAAAAAGTTGGCTCGCTTACCCAACCTCGTGTGTTTTCTAAGCCCCCCCCCCTCCCCTCCCCTCCCCCCCCCCACTATACCCCTCTAAGCACATGGGTATTATCAGAATAAAATGGTATCATGTTTGCTCTCTCTCTCTCTATCTCTCTCTCTCACTCTCTCACTCACTCACTCGATCATAGTTAGAGGCCATGAAAACTTCCTTGACCGGTTCAGCTTTATAATAATAATAACAGATTAATTGAACTAAATGTTTACTAATATTGTAATATCTGACATTTAATACACAGAGATTGAAAAAATTATTAGCATGCATGTCTGGTTCTTGGAACTTGGAACTCCTGGTAGATCAGTTTCAACATCAGTCTCAACTAAGAACATTAAAATACATTCCATATGATGTAGTCTATAGATGATACATGAACAATATAAAAGAAATAGACTTCAATATAAACATCAGTGTCTTGACGATCATTAATAACATCTTATTCAGTCAATTTAGACATAAAGACTTTATCTTTTGGTGTCATAAACTTTAACATAGTTCTTAAATCTTTAATTTTTTCTTGGGAAAGTTGCATCTTCTTGTGGATACATTTAACAGCTGGCCACCTTTCTGGTGAAGAAAGACGTCTCTTCATATTTTGTGAACGTATGGAGCAACTGTTTGCAGTGTGTCCTTCTTCGAAGGATAATTTATATTCTATTTGATATGTCGCATCTTTACGGTATGAAATCTGCTTAACTTTCGAAAATGGTACACTTCTAAAGTTTAGAAGCTTGGATGATTCCAGATAGTTCTTGAAATGACCCTCCCTCATTTGAATAATTGTAACTGGTTTTCTCATACAGGTTTTCAGACAATTCATCACCCCAAGAGGACTGAATGTTTCTTGTTGCGAAAGTCGTCGTTCAATACAGCTGTGAATACTATCTACTTCTTGGATAGCTGAATGTCCGGGTTCACAATATTTCTGATGAATGACATCTACCTGGTGCTTTTGCAGAAAGTCTTTAAGGGAAAATGCTATAGCTGAATTTCTATTTTGGGGAACGCAAGAGTCTGACCAAAGCGTGATTGTTTTGGGATTGTATTCTTCCACGATTTTTTCGAGTATGACAATTAATGCACTGGCTATCTCATTTGAGCCTCTACCGGCCAATTTTTCATGCCATATAGCACAGTAAGCACTGGAGTTGGAAGAGCAATGAGCTGTCAGATTATACACACTTAATTTTCTGGGTAGAAGAAACTTGAAATATTTGCTCTCGGACATGATATTACATTCTCTAAGTCGAAGCAAACAACCATATCTGTTCCTTGTCTATCATTGTCTCTTTCAACTTTCGTAGCAAGTTTTGACTCTACATGTTTTCTATTCAATTCAATAATTTCTTCATCTAAAAGATTACACCTTTCTTTCATTCTAAATTCTTCACATTTATCACATCTATCTTTTTTGGGTGAGAAAAAGCTGAGATTAAATTCTGTATTGAATATTTGTCTGTAAATATGCTCCTTAACAGAATCTTTTCTATCTTGTTCACACCTTTCAAGATACAACCTGTACATCTTCGTGATACTGAGATCATTCTCAAGGTATTCTTTTGTAGTTGATTGTCTACAGTAGTGAGATTCTATTTTTGGGAATGATCGAATATGCTCGCGTACAAAATCTTTATTTTCTTGATTTATTCTATCCTTTGTTTTACTTCCTCTTTGATCACCACACATCGGTGTTGAAGAAGCGGTATCATGTTTTTTTTTCAAAGTAGTAGGAAATTCTCCGTTGGGATATATCAAGAGTTGACAAATAAAAGACCTTGCAAACTCTTATTTTAGAGTCCTCAATATAGAAATTGTAAATATAAGAAAATGTTCTCCTACTTTTATCTTTAGATCTATTTCTGGATTTAACTGCCCTGTCTATTGTTTTTGAGTAGAAATGGTTCTTTTCGTTGTCATTTAAAGACCAAAACGCAGCAAAAATGTTTTGCCTATCTGAGTGTGATACCTTGGTACAACATTTAAATTTACAGCTCCCTACACAATCCTTTTTTGTTTTAACATTTCGTTTGGGAATAGCTTGACCTCTAGAACCTGTATAGGCTTCTCCAGCTTGACCTCTAGAACCTGTATAGGCTTCTCCAGCTTGCCTTTGACGTTTCCGTTCACATTTTTTCCACTTGTTTATATCCCTTTTTCTTTTTCTTGATCTTATATTTTCGTCATCATTATTTCGATCTGTACTATTATTATCATTACTTTGGGATTTATCGCTATCAGAATTCTCTTCATCATCATTTGGCACCCATTCATCAGTACTAACATCGGCCGGGGAATCTAAAATTTCATCAGTAGATATCTCAGCTGGTGAACTTGAAACTGGAGATTCAACAGATTGGAATATCTGTATATCACTTTGTGTATCCCCTTTTGAAGGGTGTAGGCCTAGTTCTATGACTGGTTCAACTGCTTCAAAATCAGCTTCTTGTTCTTCGTCATCTTTTGTTATCATGGATAAAACATCATTGAAGTCGAAGAAAACTGACATTTTGAGTTTAATGTTCCTGAAATATAAACGAAATGAAATTGGGTTTAACGTTCAGTTTGGAATGTAGATTAATTGATATATAAGATGAAATGATTGATAATTGTTCTATGTGTATTGCAACTCTTATTATTATCTCTTCTATACTTCACATCCATAGTGTTCTATCTCCATAAGTAAACAAATGCATCATTTTAACACAGATGTCTAAAGTAAATTAAAATATAAAGCATCAGTACAAATCCTTGGATCAAAAGGATTTGATAGGCATGAAAAGTGTTAGAAACATCAGATAGGTGTTAAGAAAAATCAAATATTGTTACCTGACGTTTGTACTTTCCCTCCAACAGAACTTCAAAACCAATTTATACTATCTCCAAGTGACGTGACAAATCTGACATTCGTCATTGGTTAATCACATAGAACACTCTAGAATTCATAGAGGGCTAAGAAAGTGGAGATAGTACGGTGATAATTGTTGAGAAATCACCTCTATTTTCATATTTAAGGCTAAAAATTTCATAAATAGATAGAATAGAGCCTAATTTGGCGGTAAAGGGCAATAACTCCAATTTTACCAAAAGTGGACATAGAACACTTTGGTTTTCAGGCGACGAAATATCTAAGCACCAGAGAGCTTTCAGAAACATTTGTTTCTGTGATGAATACAAGGCCTAGTGTGTCCTCGAGGTAGCTGTTCTTCATAAACCCCATTCGGTCGTCCTCCTAGTCCTGTGATGCATACGTTTTGACATCACTGGTTTTTTTGCCATGGTCTCCTAAATTGAACCTTGCACCTATATAGAATTTGAAAACCATATTAGCATTTCTGTCAGCCAAAGCACGTTTTGCTGATGGGAAACAACCGCAATCCGAGGTCCCCGAAAATATTTCACGAATTTATCAAATTTTATCTAACTATAAGGGTTTCATATTTCAAAGAGACATGCATATGCATATTCTATGGGCAAATGGCAGCCACCCTGAATAACTTTTCTTGTTTCCCTTTGTTAAATTGCAATCTGATTAAAACACAGATCCTATTTCGTTCCGTTTTTTATAGTTCAAAATTTCGTTTTACTTGTCTTTACTACACTAGGATCTGGAAGAGTTGTTATATTACCAGCGTTCTGGATGGCGTGATGGATTAGCCAATGAAATCATCTGTTACGGCAAGTTTTTGGCGTGCGATGCACGGAACTGTGGGTAAACCTCTAGAAACGCAACGCTGATTGATTAATCAATGTCTAACGTCATAGGGTCAAAATCCGCTCGAACGACCCCTGAAGTAACACTCCAGTACAACTGGCCAGATCTTCATGTAGTGTAGGCCATCGAAAGTATAAAAAAACGAAACGAAATATAGATGAGTTTTTTAATCAGATTGGTCAAATTGTTGTGTGGCGGTCATAATTTAGATTTCTCGAAGGAGGCCTTGGTATTATGACCATACAGAAATCTGAATCTACAAATATTGAAGATATATTTCAAGGTTTATCGACCTTCGGTTAGGATATAAGTCAAATATAAAACTTGCATATTAAATGTCAGACATCTTAACCCCCACAAAATTATGTCATCGCTGTTCTCCCATAAGGCGTGTGAAATCATTAAACAGTAAAATTCTCCCAAGGCGTAGAGAAATCCCGGATTGTAGATAATATATAATCGTCATGTCACGAGAAGCAGACAGAGATACACAATATTCGTGAGTATTTTTATAGACCAGATATCTTTGTTAAATATGACAAAAGAGAATTAATGATGGCTAAATGGATTAGAAAGTTAATCTCCAGCTATGTTAATAATAATACTACTACTAACAATAATAATACTACTACTAACTACTACTAACAATAATAATACTACTACTAACAATAATAATACTACTACTAACAATAATAATGAATTTATATAGCGCCGACAATTCAACTCAGCGAGCTGCTCTTGGGCGCTTTACATAAGCACGACTAATATAACATTACAGCAATCACAACACATTAATCCATACAAAAAGAAATGAAATGAAATGAAATGGGGTTTAACGTCCTACTGTTTTGCTCCTAAACTTGGCTAATGAAGACGGGCATACGCCATACAGTGTGCTATGAGGGAAATTTTGCCCGAGCAGCGGCGCTACGGCCTACTCTTATATCGAATTCCAACTGCCAAGGGATCTTTTACGTGCAAGCCAATGTGTACACGGGACCTAGGTTAGTCGTCCCATCAGAACGACTAGACAGCTGTCCTTGTCAGGCCCTCCGTCCTGCACCACTGACAAGGGGAAACCACGCCGGAAAATCTGGATGAACTTTCCCGGCCAATGCAGGGATCGAACACCCGACCTCCAGGCTAGCAAGCCAGCGTCTTACCCACTTAGCCACGTGATCCCCAGCTACATTGAAATGTTGGCAATAAAGATCCAATCATAGTTTTTAGTTATACTCTGTTAACCACCCATAGATGTTTTAGTGACAATATACTTTATTCAGCTCGGCGCAAGACTTAACATGAATAGATGCAGTTCGTCTAACTTGAATGTAGATATTATGTATCTTTGTTGCATATATAGGATCTTTCGGTTGAATCATATCATAATGGTATCTTAGTTCATAATTTTACGTATTGTTGCATTGAGCCTATGAATTTTCTTGTTTCACTTGACTGAACAAAACATTTTGTAGGAATGTATGCTTTCATAGATTGAACAAAAAGCGGATAAATGTTGCGATGTGTGGAACATGCTCGTGACGATTTGCAACAAACCTCAGACACGATATATATTTGATACTAGTTGAGCATCAGAACAACATGATTATTTCATTGGAAATGGGGCGCAAATACCCAAACCAACTGCGTTTCCGTCACCGGGCCCCTTCAATGTCTGTCTACATGTACATTATTTGTATCTGTTAAATTTGTGCGGTTTATATATTAGATTAATATTATTATTTACACATGGGCGGGGAGTGATAACATCTTACCCCAAATAAATTGCACAAGAAACCAGAAAGTTTCGGAGAGCTATATCTCGTATCACATGTCACTTATGAAACATATGCCCGAAATTTAAATTTTCATTTTCACAAAAAATCTGATTTTGAAAAGCGTATGCATGTTAAATATATTTAATAGCGCTTTTATCTGGTGTATCTTTCATTTCATTTTCTTATGAATTAGACTATATTATAACAATAATGTGCGCTTTTTTTGTATAATAATACTAATAATAATAGTTTGTTCAGTTATACTTTTCGTTTAAAAAATGTATGTTTTATCTCTTTTTAGCGGAATTCTATGACATATCTATCTACATCCCTGTCGGGGGCAGCCAACTTCGACACAACAGTATGATAGGACATAAAATAGATAGTGAGTAGGTACAAATACTTGGGACCCAAGCAGTGGCGGCGCCAGGGGGGGGGGGAACAGGAGGGGCGGGCATTTGCCCCCCCCCCATTAATCTGGTCTGCCCTCTGTTTGCCCCCCCCCCCCCAATAATTTTAGAAAATTTCGGCAATCAATACCTTCTACGGTGAAAAAATCCCACATCCCCACTCAGTCATAAACTTGCATGTCGTAGAGCATTTCCGACAGACTATTTTTCAAAATTTTCTTGGCGAGGTCCCCAATGGACTCGCTACTTTGGCGCTCACAAGGGGAATTCGTTGAGGTTCGCAAGTCCGTTCGTTTGACATTTTGTTCTCTAGTCGGATAAACTAGTGATCAGGTGACGGACGGTATCTGGTCTGGTCAGATCTATTTATCTCGACGATCGGTACCTGACAGAATACAGTCTATTTTTCAAAATTGTCTGGGGGAGGACTCCCTACTTTGACGCTCTTGAGTGGGCTTCGTCGTGATTCGCAAGTCCGTTCGTTTGACACTTTACCTCATCGATCAGTGCCTGAAATACTGCCAGACTGCATTTCCGGCAACCTGTTTTTCAAAATTTTCTGGGGGAGGCCCCCTACCCCTAGTTGAAGCTCGTGCCTTTGCCCCCTTAACCTTGGACTTTGCCCCAGCTTTGCCCCTCCAATCACCGACGGCTGGCGCCGCCACTGGACCCAAGATGGCGTCTTTGTACACTTGACGTCATATTTTCATGACGTCATATGAAATTTCTGGCTTCACAGTTGTAGCAACTTTATCTATATACGGCTTTGACTTGCTGCTCGTATGACCTCTGACTTGACCTATCGCAACAACTGGTCAGATCTTCATGTAGTGTAGGATAAATGGATTATCCACGCAAAAATGGATAGTCGAGACATTGTTATGTATGGTAATAGCGGAGGGGATCACGTGGCTAAGTGGGTAAGACGCTGGCTCGCTAGCCTGGAGGTCGGGTGTTCGATCTCTGCATTGGCCGAGAAAGTTCATCCAGATTTTCCGGCGTGGTTCCCCCTTGTCAGTGATGCAGGACGGAGGGCCTGACAAGGACAGCTGTCTAGTCGTTCGGATGGGACGAAAAACCGAGGTCCCGTGTACACATTGGCTTGCACGTAAAAGATCCCTTGGCAGTTGGAATTCGATATAAGAGTAGGCCGTAGCGCCGCTGCCCGGGCAAAATTTCCCTCATAGCACACTGTATGGCGTATGCCCGTCTTCATTAGCCAAGTTTAGGAGCAAAACAGTAGGACGTTAAACCCCATTTCATTTCATTTAATTTACAAAGTCCACATATGCGATCTACACGTGATGCCACATCACATGACGTCGATCATTGGTTTACATAACGTGAATTTGTTCCGCGCAGAATGGTGCCTTTTACTCATTTACACTAGATAGAAAATATTTTTTATCCAGTTATACTTCAAACACGTTTATTTTTTTTCTATTACTTCAAAACAATGTTCTAGATTTTAATTTGCAGAAGAAAAAAAATTAATATTGCGAGCTTATTAACCAATTCCGATGTCATCCTTATCAGTGATCTAAACGGCCTTGCGAATATTCACTGCTGACCAGCGTGTCTGGGCCGTGGTAGTCGAACGGCCTGGGTACCGTACTCTCGACATGAATGTCGTGGGTTCAAATCCCAGCCCGTAGTTATCGGGGGTTTAGGATATGAAGAAAGCGAGCAAACTGTCTATATAAATTGGCGTGAAAGTAAAAGGGGCCCTTTACAGTTGAAAATCGACCAGGCAAAATTCTCGCACAGCAAACGTATACACAGAAATAAAGACAGCCATGCAAAGCAGCTATGTCTCGAAAACATAGACAGATTCATTTTAATACATTAACAATGTTTTAGATTAGATAAAATTCGACCTTAAATGTGACATTCGACCTTAAATATGCTGTTATTCAAGCACAACTATTTCTTTATCTCTACAGCAGCCATAAATCATAGCTTTTATACAGACTATGTCATTGTGCGGTACGAACCCATACTTATGGAAGACCAAACAGCTCCTAATTCAGTGTTCTTCATTCTTAATTGTTTGTTCTTGATTCATAGTCCTTAATTTTTATTTCTTCATTTGTTGTCGTATTTCGACATTTGTACACTAAAATTAACCTTTGTATCTTAAAATCAATATTTGTTTTACAAATCAAACATTTGTCATATCAGATTTGTAAAATGTATTTTAATTGTATTTTAATATAAAAATAAAATTTATGTTAGAAAATCAAAAATTAGCCTACATTTACAGAGAAATACAATGAAAAACAAATCTGGAACAACAAATTTCTAAATACGAATCTCCAAATACAAATCTTAAAAAACATTTCTCCAAAAAACATTTCTTCAATAACAGTTCTCCAAAAACATTTCTCGAAATCCATCGAACCTAAATAAAGAGCTGTTTGATTTTGCATACATACTATTATAGATTTAATTGGATTCAACAACATTTTATTCTAGCAGTTACAAAACTAATATAACAGAAGACGTTCTCGCATGAGAGTTGAAAACCATCTATGCGCAAGGTTTGGCGGCATTTGTGTGGAACTTTTCCCCACAAGAGTTCCACAAGATATTGGGTTTCTGAAAATAAATACTGCCCACGAGCTCCATTTATACACAAAGCAAGTTATATACATAAGTCAATATTTACTACCGCGATGATAAGACACAAACTAGGTCATATAGGGACTAACAAATGGTTAAATTTTACTTCAATAATTCGCTTGCGCGTAGGGGTATTTAGCAGTCGGAGGAAATCGGAGGGCCGGGAGAAAACCCACAAGATTGGACTGGCAATCCTACTCCTTGTCATGTACAACCGGGAAATCGAAACCACGCCAGTTGATTCAATGACAGACCTTAAGATACAACGCGCACGCACTAACCATATGGTTTAATTTTATTTCAATAATTCGCTTGCGCGTAGGGGTCTTTAGCAGTGGGAGGAAACCGGAGGGCCCGGAGAAAACCCACGAGGTTGGACAGGCGACCCTACTCCTTGTCACGTACAACCGGGGATTCGAAACCACGCCAGTTGACTCAATGACAGGCCTCATGATACAGCGCGCGCGTGTTAACCATTCGGCCATCCAACCCCCCTTGATTAATAAAAACTCTGCATGTAATTTATTATATGTCAAACTCACAGCTATAAACAACATAAGCTCGTAAATTTCTTTTTGATGCAAGAGAGTTATGGATGAACACGATGGCCATCAAAATAAAATGAATTGGGGTTTAACGTCCTGAAGTTCTACACAAACTGGAATAATGAAAAACGAGCTTACGCAAGACAGTGTGCTGTGTGGGAAGTTTTGCCCCGACAGCAGCGCCACGACCTAGTCTTATTTCGAAATTTCAAATTCCAACTTTTATTTTACATACAGGGTCGTCTGTCCAACCTCGTGGGTTTTCTCCGGGTTCTCCGGTTTCCTCCCACTGCCAAAGAGCTGGTTTGGGTCGAGTGGAGGTTAAATCCCATTTCTTTCTCTCTCTCTCTCTCTCTCTCTCTCTCTCTCGACAATGTTTACACGGGCTGCGGTGTTTTCGCCCAATCCGAACAACTAGACACTGTCCTTGTCAGGTCCTCGGCCTCGCACCACTGTCAGGGGGAAACCATGCCGGCAAAACCGAGGAACTTTAGGGAGCCAGTGTCTTCGCAATGAGCCAGCGCGGCTACTCGGCCACTGAATTAATAGAGAGAGAGGGAGAGAGAGAGAGAGAGATGGGGCTTAACGACAACTCGACACAAACCAGGTCATTTCGGGACTAACACATGATTCAATTTTATTTCAACCATTCGCTTACGCGTCGGGGTCTTTAGCAGTGGGAGTAAACCGGAGGACTCGGAGAAAACCCATGAGGTTGGATTGAATTAATAAAGTCTGAATCTAGACGTTATGACGGAAAACCCATGATTTAACGGCCAAAGATACCTCATCAATATTGACCACTTGCTGGGCAACCATGGATTTAATTTGAGACAGACTTGATGAATTATAATAATATTATGTAAATTAGATTTTATAACTACAAAGATACTGTTACTATTGAGCTCAAAGGTATCAGCCGATTGACTTGGAGTTTATAAATTGTGTTCATTGATTTTTAACGATTTCTGATAATAACGGGTAGAGACGTTTTGCCTTTGATCGCCTTTTGAAATTTCTTTTTGAAAAACTTGTTATATAACATGTTTCTGAAGCAACGACTGCGAGTTTGACAACATCTGGCCGTTGCTAGTTTACTTCACCATTCCCGACATTATAGCTATGTTATCTGCAGACACGTGAACAGTAGTATCCAATCAGAGGTTGTAACATCGCGACCTCCGCGAAAACTTTGACATTGAACGAACTTTGACCTTTGGAACTCGATTATCACAGGTATACATTTTAGCTTGAAAGCGCGAGACTTGGTATTTGCAAGGACCAAGGAATCTGATTGGATCATAAGCTGGGCTTCTACCCAATCAAACTTAGTGCCGACATATGCAGAGTGTTACGTGAAGGGCTAGATAAGATGTACTTTGTTAAAGCGAGATCAAGCCTTCTATTGAAGATGGTTATATAAAGGTTATATTTGGAATCTCTTTAACCAATTCTATTACAAATGTAAAAAGCCTGTAATATAAAGTTTTGTAGAAACTTCGATCAGTAATACGCATTCACTGTACTCCATAGAACTGTGACCTGAGAGAGAGAGAGAGAGAGAGAGAGGGGGGAAGAAAGAAAGAGAGAGAGAGAGAGTAACGTCTACTCGACACAAACTAGGTCATTTATGGACTAACATATGGTTCAATTTTATTCCAATAATTCGCTTGCTTGCGCGTAGGGGTCTTTAGCAGTGGCAGGAAACCGAAGGACTCGGAGAAAATCCGCGAGGTTGGACAAGCGATCCTTGTGTAGGCTATAATGTTAAAGTTATGTTCCCAAAATACAAACTGCGTCTACAGTGCTTGGTTACCCCTTGTTTACTACACTTCATTCATTAATATTTGGCGTTTTTCGAAATTATATCCTGATTATCGCCCTTTTTATGTCACGACAGGGGGATCACGTGGCTAAGTGGGTAAGACGCTTGCTCGCTAGCCTGGAGGTCGGGTGTTCGATCCCTGCATTGGACGAGAAAGTTCATCCAGATTTTCCGGCGTGGTTCCCCCTTGTCAGTGATGCAGGACGGAGGGCCTGACAAGCATAGGCGTACGGGGAAATTTTTGACTGGGGGGGCGGTGGTGGTTGGTGCCCAAAAAACGTAGTTAGGTTCTTAGTATGTTACATAATGATAATAAATTTGCTGTTATATTGGACACATTCAAGACCGCAATATTATTTTATACAACTTTTACAAAGTACGATTGTGTGCCCAAATTTTCCCAGCATTTGGTGCCCAAAATGGAGGGGCGGCCGCCCCCCAGCCCACACCCCCTAGCTCGTACGCCTATGCTGACAAGGACAGCTGTCTAGTCCATCGGATGAGACGAAAACCCGACCGAGGTCCCGTGTATACATTGGAGTGCACGTAAAAGATCCCTTGGCAGTTGGAATTCGATATAAGAGTAGGCGATAGTGCCGCTGCCCGGGCAAAATTTCCCCCATAGCACACTGTATGGCGTATGCCCGTCTTCATTAGCCCAGCATAGGAGCAGAACAGTAGGAGGTTAAACTCCATTTCATTTCATTTCATGTCATGTCATGTCACTACAGACCCGGAACTATACAGCGCAGTGGCCGCTTACGGCTGATCACCGGATCCATTCACTTGATTTGAAATTTGTTGTTTATTTCTCCCAATGTCCGTGTAGTTTGTCGTGTCGATAGGTTGGTTTTGTTTTGTGCGTATTGCTGGCTCTCTAGCCTAGAAGTGACGTGTTTCATCCCTGGTGACGTGTTTCATCCCTGGTGACGTGTTTCATCCCTGGTGACGTGTTTCATCCCTGCATTTACCGAGAAAGTTCATCGGGATTTTCCTACATAATTTCCCCTTGTCAGTGGTGTCGGAAGAAGGGTCTGAGAAGGACACCTATTTAGTCGATCGGATGGTAAGAAAACACGAGGTCCCCTGTACACATTGGCATGCACGTAAAAGATCCCTTGACAGTTGGAATTCGATATAAGAGGAGACCGTAGTGCTGATGTCCGGGCAAAATTTCCGTCACACTGTATGGCGTATGCCCGTCCTCATTAGCCCAGTCGGAGCAGAACAGTAGGACGTTAAACCCCATTTCATTTCATTTTTTAAAAGTTAATTCAGTAGAGAAAGTGGTTTTCATTTTTAGCAGATTCGGATAATTGTTTTATATTTAATTTCAGATCGACATTGAAGGAAAGGAGGGACGGAGGCAGAAAATGGATGTTCTTGAGTTTATTGCTTGGTGCTATAGCACTAGGTCTTTTGATCGCCTTGATCGTAGTTGTCACAAACCAAGGTAAACGCCCACCACAACAAGACCCTCAGCCTTCGGTAGACGGCCAGGTTGACGCATCCGAATCGCCAAATCCCGGCGTATTCCATGATTTAACAAGAAGTGAATTATTATCTTTACAAGAATATCTTTATTCAGACAAAGCCTCGGATTTAAATCTGGTGAGATCACCTAAAGCTGCCTTAAATGTCAGCTACGTATTTATTACCGATCTTTTGCCACCTAACAAAACTGACGTTCTCGGTCATTTAGATGACAACGGACCAACTCCAGTACGACGAGCCAGAGTGGTTGTATTCAGGGGCGACAAGACACCGCCAGTAGTTGAAGAATATATTGTCCAACCTATACCAAACCCAACCAGGCACGACTTATTCGAGCTTCGAACCAGGCCTAATCCCATCCCTTTTGCCTACAGACCCGTTGGTCTGGTAGAATTTATAGAAATCGCCAGCGCTCTAGCGACTAGTTTCCAAGAAGACATTGGTGACATCCTAAAAGAAAGCTATGATGCAGGGGTCGGTGAATGTGGTGATAAATGTTTTACATTTTACCCTCATCCAATGTCGTCTGCAATCGTTGGAGCTGATACTAGGAAGATGTGGTTTGAAGCTTATCATAACGTACCTTACTATGGTCTACATCCAACTGATTTTATGTTCTTGGCACAAGTTGATGGCGCAGATAAATCTAAATTTGCAATTGAAAAGGTTATATATGGTGGAGAATCTTTTAATTCAGTACAAGAATTCAAGACAGCTTACACAACCGGCACACTTACAAAAACCAAATTGAAGTTTCCAAAAGTAGACAGAAATCTATTTTCAACGCTTAATTACAGAGGCGATGCCAAACCTTCTAAACGGGCACCCCAACTGGTTGAGCCGGATGGAAAACGTTACACCCTGAACTACAGACAGGTAAAATACATGGACTGGCAATTTGACTTCAGAATGTCTGCGTTAACAGGACCCCAGCTCTACAATATCATGTATGGGAAAGATAGGATAGCATACGAAGTGGGATTACAGGAAATAGCTGTCTTTTATTCTGGTGCTAACCCGGCAGCTCGATTTACTGATTACGTAGACAGTGGTGAACTTTTAGGAATTCATGCAAAGAGTTTGGTACCAGGGGGAGACTGTCCAGAAACTGCTACATTCATCCCAGCAACCTTTTTAGGTGAGCACACAGAAGGACCCGAAACTAACTCAAGAGCTTTTTGCTTGTTTGAACAAAACACGGGAGTACCATTAAGGCGCCATTTGTCTTATGCTGTATCGGAAGGTGGTTTCTATGGCGGGGTAATGGACAATGTGCTGATATTGAGGACAATCCTCACAGTGACAAACTACGATTACATATTTGATTTTATCTTCCATCAGAACGGTGCCATGGAAGTGAGAGCAGTGTCCACTGGTTACATTTATACCACTTTCTACAACCAAGCTGAGGATAAATATGGTTTTCGCTTAAATGAAAACATTCTGGCCAATCTGCATCATCACATGTTCCATTTTAAAGTGGATTTGGATGTACTAGGAACTTCCAATAGATACGAGACGCTGGATATAGAGACTGAAGATTTGGATATTTCTAGGGAGACTGGTAATCCTGGAGATAAATATAACCAAATATTCTACACCAAAAATCTTAAAAATACAGAAACAGAAGCTGCTTACAAATTCAATTTCGATACACCTAAATATCACATCATTCATAATAATGCGGTGAACACAAGCTTTGGGGTTCCGAGAGCCTATCGAATTCAAATGAACGGAATGTCAAAACAAACTCTAAAAGAGAACAGTGGAAACGAAGCAACAGTATCCTGGTCACGGTACCAAATGGCAGTTACAAAATATAAACATGACGAGTTTAGCAGTAGTTCACCATATAAAATGTTTGATGGCAGATCACCTGTTGTAAACTTTCAACAGTATATCGATGATAATGATAATATTGTGGACCAGGTGAGTTGAAGGTTAAAGGGAGAGAGCGAGAGAGAGAGAGAGAGTGGTGTAGGTTACAGGTGGAGAGGGGAAGAGAGGATGGGGGGGGGGTACATGTAACAATAATAATATAGGGTTCGAACTAATTATAGAGATATGGCCCTTGATTGGTGATAAACGTACATTAACATTTCTCCAGGCGATATTTGAGGTTTTACCAAAAGTAGTTCCAGAGTTATTGCCCTTGGGTGATGTGAATGTAATTAATCCTATTATATGGCCGCCATCTTGAATGTAGATAATTTAATATGTATATATTGTACTTGTTTTCAGGATTTGGTACTATGGTTAGCTATGGGAGTTCATCATATTCCACATACAGAAGATCTTCCTATAACACCTACACCCGGTGCTCATCTAAGTTTTGCTTTATTGCCTTATAATTACTTTAAGGAAGATCCTTCCATGACGTCACATGATTCAATAACTATAGTCCATAAAGATCCAACCAATCCTCAAAATGGCGTCATATTTAGGAGATACCATAATGCAACAGGAAGACCAACAAATGTAAATTTGCCTTCAGATAATTTATCTGACTATGAAGATAATCCAGATCTTGTTTTACAAAGTAGAAATTAATGTGATATCTTTTAGAATATTTTTATATGTCCACATCGACACTCCTTTATAGTTGTCAACGCTGCCTGTTCGCCCGTTGTCCACAGCTCCAAATTGATGCCCCATTGGCAACCTATTAATTTTCAAAGAATCGCAATGACTGTCAGAGTTATGGTCCCTGTGGGATCTCTAGAGGCTAAAGGTATGAGTCACTTGACTTGAAATTCATACACATTGTGGAGGGGGTGGGGGAATGACCGAATGGTTAGCGCGTGCGCGTTATATCATAAGGTCTGTCATTGAGTCAGCTGTCGAGGTTTCGATTCACCGGTTTTATGTGACACGGAGTGGGGTTACCTGTCCAACCCTATGTTTCCTCCCACTGCTAAAGACCCCTATGCTAGTCCCGAAATAACCTAGTTTGTGTCGATTGAACGTTACCCCCCTCATATGCAATTATCATATGTAGTATCATCAGGTCTTGGTACGATGTAGTGGCCACTGTGTTCCCTTTGAAGTCATCATCAGGTCATGGTACGATGTCGAGTCGAGTGTTGTACACAGATCATGTGAAGCTTGTAAATATGGTGGCTGAAAGCGTCCATTTAGATCGGCGGGTTTCTAGATACAACGCGAAAGTCGCCGTTAAGCCAGCACGGCGAAAAAGGCGCCGATCGGCTACTTTTTCGTCGTACTAGCTTAACGGCGACCCGCGACATTCACAACACGAGAGTCGCTCTTTTCGTCGTGCTGTTTAATTACAACACAGACAGTCATGACTTAATAGAAGTACATACAGAGTTGAAAGGTCAATATCATATATATTATCAAAAAGCAGCTGGAGGTCAATAAGTTCAATTTGATAAAAGTTATAGATCACTTTATCACATATTCCCCGAAACCTTTGTGTGCCTTGTCGCTCTGTAGGGAATCTTGATGTTGGTAAGAATTATATGGACGCCTTCAATATTGATAGCTCTTTTCAGAGACTATCATCTTGTGGAAATGTCGCGAAGCAAGTCTAGTTGCATGTTCCTGAAGCAACGACTGCGAGTTTCACAACATCTGGCCATTGCTTGTTTACCTCACAATTCCCGAACTTATAGCTATGTTATCTACAGACACGTGAGCAGTAGCGTCCAATCAGAGGTTGTGACATCACGACCTCCACGGAAACCTTGACATTGAATGAACCTTGAACTTTGCAACTCGATTATCACAGGTAGACATTTTAGCTTGAAAGCGCGAGACTTGGTATTCGCGACGATCGAGGAATCTGATAGGCTCACAAGTTGGGCTTTTACCCAATCGAAATTAGTGCTGAAATATGAAGGGGATTACGTGAAGGCCTTGATAAAATGTGCGTAGTTAAAGCGAGATCAAGCCTTCTATTGAAGATGGTCTAGTTAATGGGGAATGAGCATGGAATGGCCCATTGGGATGCTGCGGTAATGCGAAAGCCAGATTCTAAAGACTTAGAACAACACCTGTCCTGTTTAGTGTCCAGGGGAAAAACCAATTCGCTGGCGGTTTGGGACATCGACGGTTTGTTGTGATATTTCTGATTCGAATATTCTCAGTTAAAAGTGAAACATTTTTTCGTAGGGTCCTCTGTAAGTTACATAGAAGTTTGATTCCAGATAGGTCATCGGCTGACTCTTAACATCTCCTAACTCAATGATATCATGGAGACCCAATCCTAACCTGCTTAGATCTGTCTCTTTTGGTCATTCTGCACACAGACATCTATCTACCTTGAGAATAGATCTCTATCCTAAATGGCCACCATATCCAAAAATTAGTATATGTGGTTCTACTCCGTTTGATATCTGTCATACACACAGAGAAATGAAATGAAATGGGGTTTAACGTCCTACTGTTTTGCTCCTAAACTGGGCTAATGAAGACGGGCATACGCCATACAGTGTGCTATGAGGGAAGTTTTGCCCGGGCAGCGGCGCTACGGCCTGCTCTTATATCGAATTCCAACTGCCAAGGGATATCTTACGTGCACGCCAATTTGTACACGGGACCTCGGTTATTCGTCCCATCCGAACTACTAGACAGCTGTCCTAGTCAGGCCCTCCGTCCTGCATCACTGACAAGGGGAAACCACGCCGGAAAATCTGGATGAACTTTCTCGGCCAATGCAGAGATCGAACATCCGACCTCCAGGCTAGCGAGCCAGCGTCTTACCCACTTAGCCACCGGGATCCCCATACATACAGAGACTGAATAAACCTTTTCAATGATATTAAATTGAAGTGGAATGAATATTTCTCAAAATTATCGAAGTGTACTTAGAGTTTTCGACTAAAATCGTCAATTTTGGAATTAAAATGTCGGTCAACTAGCTTTGTGTCTGTTCTGAAGTGGAGCTAATTGTAGACAGGCAGCCTAAGTTTAGTATGTCTTTTGGTGCCAACCCTTACCATTTGGAATCAGATAAATCAAACGATGCCCATGGCGAAAACAGTTGTTACAAAATTCTAACAGTAGAGGATCCGATTTATTAAAGTTATCGATGTCCAATCTATTAAATTTATTCTTGTCAAAGTGACATAAGTTACAAAGCGTGAAAGTCAGGAATTCTAATTCAGGATGATATTTCAATCTGGTCTTAGTCACAAAATTAAATTTCAAATATTTCATAGAACCATTAAACCAACACATAAAAACTACAGTTTTCTTTCTTTTCAAGGGCCCGTGTTGCTTAGCAAATGTATTTTTTACATCCGTGTAGTGTAGTTTCATTCGGGAACCCTCCCCAAATAATTGACTAGACCTGGCATTTTGTACTAAGTGTCACATTTTGTATGGAATTATTCCTTAAAGGGACAATAACACTCTTGCTGGCTTGACAGCTCCAGAAAATAAAAAAAATAGCCTGATTCTAAGTATTAGATGTTTATGTGTCCTAACTGGTGTGTAAATTATCCATTACATCCTATTTTACTTGTCCAGAGGGTTTGAAAATATTTTTAAATCCAAGTCACATTTGAAAAGGTTTACGTTAGGCTTTTCAAAAAATTTAGTTGAATTTTTCCAATTTTTTAAATTAGGTGTGTTAAGGTGAAATTTGTATCATCAATTAATTGGAATATTGTAAAATAGTACAATTTGTTGACCAGAATAAAGATTGGCACATATTATTCAGTTACAACAAGAGTGGTATTGAGCCTTTAAGTTATATATCACCAGTAAAGTCGATTGATTCTTGGTGAGGCAATTCCGTGATCTTACAGAATCATTAAACATACATTATGCAAGAGCTAAATCTGCCTATATCAGGTCTTTCTTTAGGCCTGAAATGTTATCTAAATTATTAATTAGACATTAATTAACCTATCCAGGCCATAATCAACTCTAGATGGCAGTGCCTGCGATCTTTAGTGGATTGTAAGCCGATTTACTGCATAACTTTCCTTCTCGATTAAACGATTAAATGGATAATCGAGACTATGCTGTTTATCGTTCTGACTTTAGTAATGATGACCGAGGCTAAGGGGGAATTTCAGTCGCGTAGTTCTCGGTTCATAGTGGATGAATTTGAATGAAATTTTCAGCAAATTGCCTTTACATTATCTAGTTTTTAACTATTATAGTGAGAACTGCCAGCTCGTTATCAAATCTCTCATAATGTATCTTTAATGTTTATTAACCTGCATCAATTAGTTGATCTTTTTTTAACTCATATCAAATTCTGTTTTTCAAGATGCCATTTGCTGGTGTTACAATATATCTTGTCCTAATGGGAATACGAATTCCACTAATTTCCCATAATTCATTATTGAGTGACAGCTACAGCATATCATTTGATAATTGTTTTATATTATTAGCTCACCTTTAACTCCCGATCCCTGTCCAACCTCGTCGGTTTTCTCCGGGTTCTCCGGTTTACTCCTACTTCTAATGTAAAGACCCCTACGCGCACGCGCGAATTGTTGAAATAAAATTGAACCATGTATTAGTTTATATTTTTAATTGAATTCGTATTCTATTTTTCTAGATGACATTTGTTATTGTTTAAATCAAATATAACAATTTGTTATTGTTTAAATCAAATATAACAATTTGTTATTGTTTAAATCAAATATAACAATTTGTTATTGTTTAAATCAAATATAACAATTTTGTATTGTTTAAATCAAATATAACAATTTTTTATTGTTTAAATCAAATATAACAATTTGGCTCATAATGAAGTGAAATGAAATGAAATCAAATGGGGTTAACGTCCAACTGTTCTGCTCCGAATTGGGCTAATGAAGACGGGTATACGCCATACAGTGTGCTATAAGCTGCACTATGGCTTACTCTTATATCGAATTCCAACTGTCAAGGAATCATTTATACGTGCACGCCAATGTGTACACGGGACCTCGGTTTTTCGTCCCACCCGAACGACTAGACAGCTGTCCTTTTCAGGCCCTCCATCCGGCACCAGTTACAAGGGGTTTTCTCCAGGTCCACCGGTTTCCTGCCATTGCTAAAGTTCTCTACGTGCACGCGAATTATTGAAAAAAAATGTGGTATCCTTTTAAATTGTTTTGGTGAAGTATTGCATTCATATTACATTAATATGTATCAAAACAATTTTACACGATTAAGACAAATGACACATTGTGATTTTAATCAGAGTTTCTGTGAATATAGTATTGCCTATTTCCCTAAGACGAATGGAATATTTGGTTTTGGTGGAAACAGATGTCTTTCTCAGTGAGCCAGCGCGGCTACTCGGTCACTGAATCAATAAAGAGAGAGAGAGAGTGTGTGTGATAGAGAGAGAGACACAGAGAGAAATGGGGTTTGACGTCCACTCGACACAATCCAGGTCATTTCGGGACTAACATATGGTTCAATTTCATTTCAATAATTCACTTGCCCGTAGGGGTCTTTAGCAGTGGCAGGAACCCGGAGGACGTGAAGAAAAACCCACGAGGTTGGACAGATGAATTGTATTGATATAAAGATAATAAGTGATATCTAGAAAAATATAACTTGATTAGTGGTAATACGAATTGCCTTTTTACATTACAAACCAATTGATGCACAATATTAAAAA